GAAAAGAGAAGAGAAGAGGAGAGAGAGAGAGAGAGAGAAGAGAGAGAGAGAGAGGAGAGAGAGAGAGAGAGAGAGAGAGAAGAGAGCAAAGAGAAGAGAGAAAGAGAGAAAGAGAGAGAGAGAGAGAGAGAGAGAAGAGAGAGAGAGAGAGAGAGAGAGAAAAGAAAAGAAAGAGAGAAAGAGAGAAAAGAGAGAGAAGAGAGAGAGAGAGAGAGAGAGAGAGAGAGAGAGAGAGAGAGAGAGAGAGAGAGAGAGAGAGAGAGAGAGAGAGAGACAGACAGAGACAGACAGAGAAAGAAAGAGAGAGAGAAACCAAAAACAAAAGCGAAAAAAAAAATAAGACAAAATCGAGAACGAAAAAAGAGAAGAGAGGGTTGAGAGAGAAAAAAAAGACGAGAACAACTGTACAGAACTCCAAGGAAATCTGAGACAGAACCGAAGAGGGTAGCACTTACGCGACACATCCTCAGTGAAGTTGCTGCCCCAGTCGGCCACGTTGCTGAAGTTGGTCATGGGGACGATCCACTCGGCTTCTTGCGCGTCCATGGACCCGCGAGCGCGACTTGTCTTCCAACGCCGAGCATGTTGGCCAAATGGCTGCCGGAGGAGCGCCAAAGAGACCGTCAGGGAGTATCGGCTGGTCGTTGGGGCCTTCGAGGACTTCTATATACAGTGTGTGTGGTGTGTGTGGTGTGTGGTGTTGTGTGTGTGTGGTGTGTGGTTGTTGTGTTTTGGGTGTGTGTTGTGTGTGTGTGGTGGTTTTGTATGTATGTGATGGGTATGATTGAGGTTTTAGTGTATGTATGTATGTAGTGGGTATGCGTTCTCTCTCTGCGGTCTCTCTCTTCTCCGTGGGTCCGTTCTATATGAGGTGATATAGTATATGTGAGGTGAGAGTAGGGATATATATATATATATAATATATATATATATAGGGTGGTAGTCATCATGGAGGGTATAGTGTATATATATAATACATATTTATATACACACTGGCACACACGAGCACACGAACACACACACGACACAGCATGGGGGGGCGGAGCAGAGGCATCCACACACACGACACAACACGACACACATATATATGAGTAATATAGTGAAGGGGTATGTAGGTATATATATATTGTAGGGTTATAGCAGCATTTTTTTGTACATTTCTTTGTTCAGCTTGTGCCTTTTATAACATGCGCGTACCTGCCATTCGAAAACATCAAATTCATCTTCCTGATCCATTCCAACTTTAAATCTCTTAATCATAACATTCTTTTATAATTAATCAATTCCCCCCAACTACCCAACCGCCCAATTTCTCTCAACCCTTTTAAATCCTTTTGTTGTACCAAAGGCTTCCCCAACAGTTTTTGCCCGCAGCGTCGTTCGTGGGACTCTAGTCTCCGGTACCAATGCTTTGAAACCGCCGCCACTCAACAGGAACGGCATTAATGTTGCCTGAGACGGGTATCATGATGGGGAGAGGGTGGGCCATGATGGGGAGAGGGTGGGCCATGAGGGAGAGGGTGGGGCCATACCCTACCACGCTGGCCCAGGGCGAGTTGGCAGGGGGATCCAATGGTCGCCTTTTACGACACGCAAGAAATACGCTGGAAGTGTTCTTTTTTCACGTCCCCCTATCCACAAGGGAAAACCTAAAGGACGTATGCAGTAGCCTTTAATCTTCTCTTCTCTTCTCTCTCTATTTCTTCTCTTCTCTCTTCTTCTCCTCTCTCTCTCTCCCTCTTCTCTCTCTCTCTCTCTCTCTCTCTCCTCTCTCTCTCTCTCTCTCTCTCTCTCTCTCTCTCTCTCTCTCTCTCTCTCTCTCTTCTCTTTCAAGCTGCCATCACTCGAAACCTATGGAGTGCCTTGGGGACCTCGAGCGTCTCCGTAACAGGCACTTTGGTTCCTTCTTCGAATTCCACGTTCTCACATTCTGCTGTACTTACGTTATGTATTTCCTCTGCTTCTCCATCTCTGTCGTGCCTCCCTCGTGGGCATACACGACCAAGAGATCCACTTGGTTCTCAGTCTTGACCTGCGAATTGCTGTATATGGGGCACTGGTCGTAATCCTCATAGTTGTAGCTGCCTGGGGTTGTGCACAAAAGAGGGTTTCATTAGTATTTGTCCGCAAAAGTGTGAGCTTTTTTGAGAGATAGATAGATAGAGTAAAGAGAGATAAGAAATCCTTAAGATATATGAATCCATAGGAGGTTAGATGACCGTCGTATTGTGTGTCTGTGTGTGTGTGTGTGTGTGTGTGTGTGTGTGTGTGTGGTGTGAGAGAGGGAGAGAGAGAGAGAGAGAGGAGAGAGAGAGAGATTGAGAGAGAGAGATTGGTAGAGAGGGAGATGAGAGAGAGAGAGATAGAGAGAGGAGAGAGGAGGAGACAGAGAGAGAGAGAAAGAGAGAGAGGAAAATCCTTTAGATATATGTGTATCTCGCCAGGTATAGAACATGACCGTCGTATGTGTAATGTGTGTGTTGTGTCGTGTGCCTATGTTTGTGGTGTGGAGAGAGCCAGACGCATGAGAGGAGTCAGTTTATTTAATAGTAGTGTTCGCTAGCGAGAATTACACGTGCCGGCACAGTCATTAGTCGTTGGGAGTGCAATACGTGTTGTTATGCCACTCGTGAAAATTACAGTTTGTTTAAACAGACCTCTTTTTGTCCGTTACATAATTTGCACATATAAGACAAACCACTACGTTATTATCTGTGGAGGTTAGGCGCTTTAGTTTTGGCCTGGATTTGCAAACGAACATGCTTATCGTTTTCTATGCGAGCATATTAGTTTGTGCGTATTTATGTGATGGTGCGGCAGTGTTGCGGCTTGCATGTGTGCCTGTATCAGAAAAGCATCTATTTGTGACTCAGTGTGCGATAGTCTTGTGTTATGCGAATATTGTGCGGTGCGTGAGTGATTGGAGGTTTTATGTAAGTTGCCGTGCACAAGAAATGCATTGGATGATGTTATTCAGGGTATGCGCATGGACGTATGCATGTATGGTATGTATGTATGCATGTATGGTATGGGTTGTTATTGTTTATGGAGGCGTGTATGGTAATGCTTATGAGTGTGTAAATTGTTTGTTTGTAAATGTAGTCTACATATCTACTCACTCACAGTCTCACTCATCGTCTCACATTCAATGGTTGGTGTGGTGTCGACACTGCGCGCGCTGCACGCGTAGACTATACCTATTTATCGGAGGAGGAATTTGAGGGACGCCCCGTGTTCTGCTCAAGGCCACAACTTTTGGCTGTTGAGGCTGCTGTTGGGGATTCATTCGGGCATTCCTTTATCTGACGTTTGTCCGAAATTTCGGCTTGCTTTTCTCCCGATCAAAGTTCGTCCTCTGGATTGTTCTCGTTTGAGAGGTGTTGTATTTGGTGTGCGTATGGCGTACAGTGGTAATGAATTGTGTGACATGAAGCTCGTTGTGCGGGGTTGCTTGGGCGGAATGCGGAGTCAGGTTTTTTTTTTATTTTTTTTTTAATCTTTTTATATTTTTTTTGAGGGGGGACTGCGATGTGGAAGGTGGGGGTGTAGTGATTTTTCTCTTTTCTCTCATCTCGCTACTCTATTTATTGTCTCTCTCTTATATCTCAAACAGACCATCACATACTCGCTTCGTCTTTTTTTTTCTAATCTATCTACATGATCTGAGGGTTATGCGTTTCACTGCAACTATCTCTCTTCTCGATCTCTCGTTCTCTTGCCTCTCTTTCCTCTCGCTCGTCCCGGCTCTTGTCTTCTCTCTTTCACCTCTCTCTTCTCCTCTCTGCTCTTACCTCTTCCTCTCGTCTCCTCTTTCCTCTCATCCTAGCTTGCTCTCTTCTTGTCACAGCACACAATTAAGATACCATCAACCACCTCACCTCATCACAATATCACCGACTATATACAAGATACCACAAGCGTGCTTTGAACGCCACACTCCCTGCGCCCAACACCATAAGCATCCTCCAAGTGCGAGAACCGTAAAGCATGCGACTTCACCTGCTCCATTCCACGATCTATGGCTCCTAATCGATCTGCTTGAAGCTTCATGGCGGTTGCAAGCACGGAAGTCGGAGCGGTCGGGGAGGCCTCGCTCGCTGTAGTACATCCTGAGTACTTGGGACAGCTTCAGCGTGCTCGAGGTGGACGACTGCAGCACCTTCTGGATCAGGAGAGCTGGAAGGGGGAAGCGGGGGACGTGGAGGCGGATCAAAAGCCAGGGTTGTGGGGTGGCAAGAGCATGCAACCGTGAAATCCTAGTTTAGCCTTATATGATGGGGTGGTTGCAAAGAGGAGGTTGCAATGGATAGAGCATGTTGGAGGCGGCGTATTCGAGTGGCTGACCCTGTCAAGGATTACGGCAATGAAGAAGAAGGAGAAGAAGCAGAGGAAGAAAAGTCAAGGTGGCGTCTGATTCCATTTCCTCTGAGAAGAAGGAGAAAAAGAAGAAGAAGAAGAAAAGTCAGGATGGACAGAACAGAAATTATAGAAGGTAACTGGTCACTGAGATTAAGATAAGAATAAAGGGAATTCTTAGAGGATATTAATAATCATGTGACCGTGTTTATGCAAACTTTTCCTTAAAAAAAAAAAAAAAAAAAAAAAAAAAAAAAATAAAAAATATGACAATGGTTTCTAACAACTGACCAAAACGAATCGCCTTTGCTCTTTTCTCTCTAAATAAAAACCAACACAACTCGAATCACCCTTCCCCCCCCAACACAATCAACACACCCCAAGTAACCACCATCTCGTCCCACCAGATCCCCCTCCACCCCTCACCCCTCACCCCTCACCCCCACCCCCACCCCAAAAAAAAAAAAAAATGAACACCAAAAAACTTTATACCATCGATGCCAGCAAAGACTTCGGATCTGCTGAGATACGAAATGAT